AAGAGAAAGGAAAGCTTGAAATCGCATCATATGACCCCTTTAATGCCTTTTTAATCGTAGAAAATTACAACAAATAGGGCATATGTGACAACCTGTCCTGCTATTTGTTTGTTTATTTTAAAACTTTTTCTAGAGAGAAACGTTTGTGCAACTGGACTGTGAAAACTACTTTAATGTAGGCATCATAATATTAATAAGTTTATACTGTGTAAATACCGGTTTATTTTATATTTTCCCCCACAGTAACAATGTAAATACAGTTTGTTTCTAAATCTATCCTCGCTATTTACATACGCCGTCTATTCATAGAGTTTTTCCTTTTACATTTGTCTTTAGGATCATAGCAACATGACTAGAGTAGGAAGTGTTTAATAACCATTTCCGGGCAACGTTCCTGGTCAAAATCCAAGATGGCTGCTCACATGTCAAGATTAAGGGGCTGGAGCCGAGCGCAGAGGTTTGAGCTAATGTCCTAATATTTACGTACTGGATAGACGTGCGTCACATTTGTAGAGCCGTAGCCTCATGTTTGGTTTGACTTTATAAAATAATATATTTTAGATTGTCTCTCTACTTCATAAAATCGTTTGTTATAGCAATAGTGTACAGTGACAAACTTCAAAATATCGTGTGCTTCCCCGGTAACTTAATTAAACTGTATTGACAGCAACTATTGCAAATGCCAGTGTGGATGTTGTTGTTAGTATCATATTGCTCATGATTTAACAGTGTTGTCATGCGTGTTTAATGCTGAGAGATGACCTGTAGAAGCAGTGAGTGCTGTCGGTGTATGACTGTTGCAGGTATGGCATCGCGGTATGTAGGCAGTACAGCAGCGGCAGCGCGTATCCCAATGTGTCCCTGTCCACACCGTTACCCGGGATTCCCAAACCTGTCTTTGCCTCCGTGGACGGCCACGAGAAACACGAGACTAAAATCACCACCTTAGAAAACGGACTCAAAGTTGCATCTCAGAATAAATTTGGTCAATTCTGTACAGTTGGAAGTAAGTTCAATGTGAAGTGTCGCGTGATTCAAATGAGCTGAGCCAGATACTGAGGGTTGTGTCTCACCTGCTTGTTTTTAGTTTTAGTAAACTCAGGCTCGCGTCATGAAGCAAAATATCCCAGTGGAATTGCACACTTTTTGGAAAAGCTTTCCTTTTCTGTAAGTTAGTATTTGTTTATTTGTTGTATGGCATGAATTGTTTATATACTAAATTGCTTTGACACTGTTCTTCTGATTTAAATGCACAAAACCGAACTCAGTCTGATTCACACTTCAATTTAAGTCTACAGCCCAGTTTGGAAGTAAAGATGAAATTCTCCTAACACTTGAGAAACATGGAGGCATATGTGACTGCCAAACATCCAGGTCTGACACTTTTTAAAAATGTTTTCTTCAAATAGTTGTGTTCTCTTCTGTTTACCTCTTATTTAGCATGTTTTATTTATTTCTGTCATATACAGGGACACAACAATGTATGCGGTTTCAGCGGAAGTTAAGGGTCTGGATACTGTAGTGAACCTCCTGTCAGATGCGGTTCTACAGCCTCGTTTATTAGGTGAGCATCTAAAACACAACTGATTATGTAAAGATGTCATATGACATTGCTAAAAAGAACATTATGTTGTGTATTTGGTGTAATGCAATGTGTTTATGCGGTTTAAGGTAAAAAAAACACATTATTTTCCACATACTGTACATTATTGTTGCACCTCTATGCCCCGCCTTTCTGAAACATGCCGATTTTTACAAAGCTCATCGGTCTGAAAAGCGAGTTGTGTTATGATTGGCCGAATACCTCAAGTGTGTGACGGAAATGTTACGCCCCTTACCATATTGTCAGGCCGTATCCCAGAGCGACGAGACAAAACCAATAAAACCCATTATAAACGAGGCATTTGTTGCATTCAGTGGGGACATAATTACGGATTATAATGACTTTTTACACGTTGCGTTGCGTATCGCGCCGCATAAACCATAAAACCATGTCTGCATTTGTGATCGGAGAAAGACAAACAAGCGCTACTCTACACTGCTCAAAATTTGCGTTTGAATCATCGGTGGAAAATTCTTTAAATATGAAAACGTACTTACAGACTGCGAGTCAGAAGTGCCAGACTGTCCTTGCAAAGTTGGAAATGCCCCACTTTATAGAAACAGCCTTTGTGCAAAGACGCATTGTAGGCTACTCTGCAGGTTCAGGAAACCTCCATAAAATGCGCTGGACACATCTGAATATTTGGGTTGAAG